CCACCCCTCTACTCCCCCCACCCCCCCGCAAAGGTGCTGGAAATTTAATTTCCTGCTCAGCTGTGTTTTTAGTGGATTACCATCCAAAATTACAGTTTCATTCTTTACATCAGCATGAAATTTAATAACACAAGTAAGCCCAAGTTTCACATCAAGTTTCACATTCAGTTGCAGGCATCCCGTTTAAAATTATTTCCAATTTAAAGTTGGTATCCAAGCTGCTTTATAGATAAGGCGACTGACTGAAGATATAACTTGTTCCCCTTAAATCAGACATGGAAACCAACTCCTCCTTTTTTTCTAGCTGGACACAGCTAATGGTTTTTACTTTTCATACGGGGTATCGAGATGTGAATGCAAGGCTTTAGGCACAAGTCCTTTTATATCTGGACTTAAAGCCATCACAAGGAAGCTTAGTAACAGAGAGTTCCAGTTCCTGCTGCAGACTTCTTGTAATTTACCTATATGCCCTCAGCATTTTTTCAGTTTATAGCAGGCAGACAGTTTAAGAGTGACAAACTTGGGTAGCAAAAGTGTTTCCTCCTAAGCAATGCAAGTTCCATTATTCAATTTCAGTAGGAAGCCACCCTGCAAGGCCACAAAGGCAGATCCAGGCATAACACATGCAGAAAATTTTCAGTCCAAGTTCAGACGTTTTTCCTAGCAAGATTGTTGTCTCTTGTCAATCAACAGAACTCCTCTAGCTGACACATGACAATCAGCATAAGCAAAGCATGGGGGACAAGGCTAAACTTAAGTACTTTCAAAAGGATGCAGCTGATGTTGGTGTTACCTTGTCAGTGGCTAGCTCTTCAGTTGGAGATGGAAACAAAGACCTAACAAAATTCAAGGCATAAAACAACTGAAATAAAATTCTTCCCAATATTGGAGGTAGATTTTATCCAGTGTAATATATAATAGCCACTCCCGTAAGTGCAGAGCTCTAGGAATTAAACAATTCCGATCAACTTTGACCTATGTGCTCTTAGAATAATTACGGCAAGCTTTTTGCATATCCTTCAAGAAAGTAGGCACACCACTCTGTAAAGAGAAAAGTGAAAAGTCATTCTTGCATAACATAATCAAGAAAAACTATAAGAAAGATGAGAATTCCCACTATATAGATCAAGGCCTTCAAACAAATACAGGACAATTCTAAGATCTTGTACAAAGCAGCAGACCATTCCTTTAATCCTTCATGAACAGACTGCATTATTAAAGTTTGATTGTGTTCAGGCTATTCACGTATGCTCTGGAACGTGGATTTGTTGTTTTTGTTGCACAAATTTACTTGCCTGGTTGATTAACCAAAGGAATTTGATAGGAATAAAAAAAAAAATAAGACAACTGCCATGAAAGCAGACAATAACAAGACTCTAAAAATGGGACTGCATAAGAGCTAGAAAGGTCAATACATCTGTTTCAGGAAAAAAAAAAATTCTACCCAACATGCAGAAGACAGATATGGATGCAGTGAATACATTGTTTGAAACAGATTAGCCAAAGACAATTGTGCTGTCAACCTTTACTTACCTTGGCAGCCCAATTGACCAGCCATGATGGAATCATGCCACCAGGATTATCAAAATAGTACATATAGACTAGAGATGAGAGAGAAGTTACCAGAAAGTTATCCATACATAGTCCGAGTATTAGCTCTAACACCATATGACAGAAGCTGTTGGTGTGCATGACTGAATCACCAAGTACAATAGTTCTGCTCTAAATTCTTCACAAAAAAGTCAACTTGTACTGAAGTAGGATGTGAAGTAAGTATAGCCATTCTCTGGGAAGCTGAGAGTGCTTAATTAATATTAATTTAGACTATTGCAAACCATTTTTGGCAGCTTGTTTTATAAAATAAGGTTGTCTTTAAAGGACTAATCTCAGACAGGAGACAATCTCTAGGCAAACCCCTTAATCTATAAATCTGCCAGACATGATACTTATATCATTGCTGATAGCATCAGACTCTACCCAACGGAACTGGCTGGCAGGAAAAGAAGTGTGGGCTTGGGGGCGCAGAACGAAGTGGTCAGTAGTCTATTCTTAACTACCCAGCCCAACTGTTAAATAAAAGATTCTTAACAGTAGCACACTGCACTGGATGTGTCCAAAAGTTTCACTCATTTTAAAGTATTCCTAATGCTCAGTACATCCACTTTATAGTAACTGTTTTTAGCTTAAAATCTCCAGTCTCCCTCTTCGTGCATTTCGCTAATACATACATTCTTTGGCTACATGACTTGTGATCACGTTTTCTTGACCTCTTACCTTTAGATCCAGTCTTGCCATCACTTTCAATTGCCAGACTTTGTTTATAGCTTTTAACTCTGATAATACCAGGCTTTTCAGGGCACTGAGGAACAGACACACTTTGAGCTAACGCAACCCAGATCTTCCGCCCATCAACATCCATCTCTCGACATTCACGAATATAGACATACTGTATTCCAAGTTGAGGAAGCATGTCAAAACAGTGTCAGTTTGACATATGAGGAATTCACAAGTGAATTCCACTACAAATACCAGCCCCTTCAAGTTATTTCTTATGCTTTTACAGGATTCAATCCTGCAGAATAATAATTCAGCTATGTGAGCTTTAGTTGTGTGTGGGAAGAGGTACCCACGCTCTCCTTTATGCTATACATATTAATGTAACATGAGGACTGCAAGATCTTAGATCAAGCACAGCAGAGCAGTAGAATCAGTACATTGTTGGGATCCCTGGATGACCTGGTGACAAAAACTGCAAGAGGAACAAAAAGCTTGAAAGGATACATCTCTGTTTGAGAGAGGAAAAGGGTACTTCACTTCCCAGTAGATTACTTTTTCATCATCATATGTTTTCTCATACAGTTCTACAGTTGAAAAAGGAAGATTGTTAGATATTTTTAATTTCTACTGCAACAGAACCATACATGGCATCAAGAACTGCTCAGATTTCTGACATGAGCACATGTTATATGCAACACTTATGTCAAAATTGATACGTATGTAAAATTGTAGCAGAAGACATTAAAAAAAGTTCTGTGCAGGGTTGTTCAGGAACCAAATACACAAAAATAGGTGGCCGTTTTTCTGCTGCTATTGAATTCGTTGATGGGAAAAAAACCAAAACAAACAAAAAAACCCCCACCAACCCTCCCAAAAAACCCCAAAACACAAAACCAGAACAATTCTGGGGGGAGGCACAGTAAAATTCCTTTTCAGAGAGTTAGCTCATTCAAAGCCCTTCCATCTGAAAGCTTTTTCCTCGCCTATGCATATTCTGTATAATTCTGAGCCACAAGTACAGTATGCTTTTTCACAAGCATGTCATTATCCTTGTAAATGATTCTGAGTTAACATGGAACTAGGACAAGTACTGCTTTCTAATACCTGAAGAGGTCTTACATGAGGGATTAATGAAGTTTGGAAAAGCTATTAGCAATTTCACAGCAGTATATACAGGCAACAGTGAATAAGAAGCTTGAGCAGTTTATGAGCCTTCATTATACCACCTTCACTCTGCCTGGAAACTCAATCAGAAGGCAGCTGAATAGGGAAAAAAAAAGTGTCTAAGAATAGTCCCTAAAACATGGCAGTGACTTGGATAGTAGTGTGGCATGAAGGAGAAAAATTCATTCAAATCAAACTACGTAACTGAGTTTGAAAAACTGCCTACTGTATGACTTCTTCCCTTGAGGCAGTAACTGCCATTATCAGGGTAATGGACCTGACAAGCCATGGGGCTGAGCCAGGGTAAGTTCCTGTCTGCTCAGGGACTGGTCATTACATGGGTGCAGTTAAAAAGGGTGTGATCCAGAGAGGTGTTCACATTAACAGTCAGAGTGGTCCTTTCCTCCTTTAGAGCAGACTTCTGCCTAGAGGTGCTATATATTCTTCAGAGATAATGAACACAGTCTGCCACATCACTTGCAGTGGTTTTGAAAATAAGGCTAGAACCGACTGCTAATCTCATTGCTAAGGCAAGAAGAGGGCCACAGATGGTAGATTCCTTCCGTATGTAACATGTTCCAAACTAGGCTTCTGTTAGTAGGCCCTGCAAGTCAGCTGTCACCCACGAAAACAGCTTTTCCTCTTCTCCGGCTTGGAGCAGTATTGGATGCACAATACTCCCAGCGTTGTAATAAGCTACAGCATTATGCTATCCACCAGAGGTCACTGGAGCATTGGTTTATTAGCTTTACTTTCATTTCTAATGGCAGAGCTTTCCTTTTTCAAAGGGATTAACACGCTATTTTGAAGACCTCGATGCAATTTTTAGCTACTAACTCATCTACCTTTGTATCTTTGCAAATACAGAAAAAACACACAATATTTAAGTCATGTCCCACCTGTACCCACTTTAGTCTCTCAATACTAGTGGACAGCTTCTGATCAAAGCAGAATACAGTGCATTTTAATCAATAACCAGATTTCACTTAGCATTACTACAATAGATCACAAATCCATTTTATTCATAATAGGCACAGCTGCATTTGCTGCTTTAGCAGTCAATTATTACTGTTAAATTGTTGGGAACTATGACCTCAATCAGGATGGTGTTGCAATCAGGAGTAGCAAGTTTCAATATTGCTCAGGCCCAACCACGTTGCATCACGCCACAGAAGCATGTGGTACCTCAGTCACTACTCTACAGTTTAGTCGCAGCTTCCCTGCTCAGACCAGGCCTCAAGATGTCCACGTCTTATAGATATCCAGGCGGCTGCTTTGGAAATAGCCAGGGTACTAACAGCAATGCAACAACAGCAGCAGACTGATACCAAAATTTCTGAGGCCTCAGGCAAACCCTTGGCAAGAACAGACCAAGGCATGACCCTCTGAAGTACTCACAGGAATCCTATCCGTATCTGCCTCCACTCAGGCCTTCCTAAAGAGTTTTGCTGAACAGAACTAGAGGATAGAGATTAGCTCCTCTTATACTTAGTGCAGGAGCAGTTACATTTTCAACTAAAAAGACAGCTACTTCTACTCTGGTCAAGTTTTTATTTCAATGCCAGCCAGCAGTTCAGCAGAGAACTCTTCTTTGGGCTGCCATTAATCGCATAGCTGTAAGAGCAACAAGGAATACAAACAGTAAAACAAACAACAAGAAGGCTCTGAATGGAAGTTTTCTGGTTTTTCTCCCTAAATGTGAAAGGAGAAAAACCAAGCTTATATACTTTACATTGAAAATGTTGGCTAGCACTATTTCATCATATGTACAGTTCTAAAGAATGGGTGGGCTTGTGTCAATTTTTAAGCTAAAAGGAAAGAATTAACATTATGTTTATGCCCTTCACGAGTTAACTTCTCTGAAATGCTGGACTTGAAGTACCAGCACAAGTATAAATTCACAGATGAACATATCACGGTCAGCAAGGATATAAACGCCAGCTCTGCAACGTTATCTAGTTTTTAGTTTAAGGGTGTAGCTTCCCCCAACTGCTTCCTTTCTTTTCTCTAAGAAGGCATTACAAAAAAAAAAGTGTTTGTTTAAGAAGGATTCAGTTCTCCTAAATGCACTTAAATCAAAGACTACTGAAATAACTTAAGATAACATAGTATTTGTACATCCAGTATGATAATGTTTCATTAATGGCAAAGTCGCCTTTGCTACAAGAAAGCTATTGACCATTTTGACAAATAACACTTACTAATGAAGACATGGCTTCTTAAGCTTGATCAAGTACTGACAGGAGTCAAACATGTGGTTCTCTGTACCAATACAGCCAAAGCTATTACCAGCAATCGTTCACCATAGAGCTGTCCTAGACTTAACAAGCACAACGTTTAACAATTCTTTGGTTTTTAACACTGTTCTTTGATCAGCAAAACACTTTGACCACGTTTCAGTTTTATTGGCTGGAACTGATTTTAAGCATAGTCTTAAAAGGGAAGGGCTCCTCATCTTTAAAATAAATGGATTACTGGACGCCTACATCAGCTGAATCCTTGCCTTGTCACTGCTGACTTAAGATGTTTTAACATCATACGGATATCCAGGTTCAACTCCCTTTTTCAAAGACAACATTAAATAAAACAAACAAATTAGTTATTCCTTTCTCTGTAAAAGTCCAAAGTCACCAACTATTCTCTCGATACACCCATTTCTGTTTGTAAAAGGTGCCAAGAACAACCAATGCTTTCAGGAAAAGACATTCCATCACGCATCAAACTGGTGCAAGCCACTGCACTGCTCCGCTGCAATATGCAAAGATGCACAAAAGGTACCATCTCCATTTCTCCCCAAAATATCTACTAAAATTTAACGTAGGAATTACAACAACTAGAAGCTGCAAGATGCTCCAGCATAACAAGTGATGCCAATTATGTGCTTTAACCAAAGAAAAGAATTCATTCCGGAAGGAAGCTATACGGTTACTAGAGGTTAGCTGTTCCATGTCAGTGTTTACTTGTATATTTGCAGAGTGCAACGTTATCCCAAAAGATACTTAAGTCTGGCTGAAAGTCTTTGCGTGCAGCAACTTTAAAATACCTTTGAACAAAATTTTATTGGGAAGAGTCAATGTGGACATGAAGCTTGCTTTTAAACTGCCTAGACGAGCTTACCTTTAACATACTGATCCCATTGCTTTCTGAAATCTAAATCCATATAGACATCTGCACACAGTTGTGGGGGACAGTCAGCAAGACCACCGAAGATTTTATACTCATAAAGTCCTGATTGCTGTGGAAACAGAATGGGGAGAGGAAAAGTCACACAGGAAAGGGAAGTACTCTGCAGCAGGGAGAACAGCTGAAGGAAGTTAGGTGGGGCACATACTACAAATTTGCTCAAGAGCTGTGAAAGCAAGTGTTCAAAAAAACAATGCAAGATTCAGTCTTTAACCTCTCGACTTTTTGATCTATACATGAAAGTTCAAATCCAGACAGGCTGACCTGCCCAGCACAATGGTTGTTCCTTCCCTTACACCAGTACCCTTTTACTTCATAAGTAGTTCCAAAGGGAGCATGTTTCTTCACATACACATGCCCCTTTTCATCTCCAGTGGTCAGCGTGGACTAAATCCTGCCCACACTGAAGCTTACCAGAAGTATTAAATTGTTGTGGCAAGGTCTCCAGACCCTATATAATGTGTTTAAGAATCTCAGCCATTTCCAGAAGGTTACCAAGTACTGCACGATCTGGAATAAGCTTTCCAGCAAGACAGGTGTGCTTATACTTCAGGCTGTGATAGAAGAATGCTTTATAATGTTCATGCTTATATGCAATGCACTATTATATCTGCCTTGAATATTTATCATCTATTTTCTTTCTGAAAGCTGTCTGCACTGAAGGGGTGGGGTGCAGGATATCACCTATGTTAATGCTTTTAATGTTTCTCTTAACATATGGAAACTCCATCTGTGCCTATAGAGCAATGTTTGTTCTATTGTTAGTACCAGTTCAGGACTAAATTAAAACAATGAGAGTATTTTGAATATACAGTGTAGGAGTAAAATTCAAGCATTCCCAAGGAAAGGGAGGGAAGGATTATACAACATTCTATTACTGAATGGTTGATTTTTCTTTTTCACCTCCCCTTCACAAATCAGCCCTAGAAGATGAAGATTTGATGTACCAGAAGATAAGAATGGCACCAAGAAGCTTATGCTACTCATCTTCACCGTGGCTTCACTGAGGCACCAATCCCTAGCTTCAAACCTGAACTGTTCAGCACCTGTGCAGCCCCATGCGCTCATGTCATCTTTGTAAAAGCCATCAACATTTTTATTTTCCCAAGAAGAACTATTTTTTAAAATATCACATCTGAAATGGAGCCGAGACCCAACAGCATATGCCAAAGCACTACATTGGTAATTCAAAAATAGTTGTTTTAGCTTAAACACTATTTCATTCCAGGTCACTAGTCAGAAATGCTATGTGGATTATCTTGCACATATGTATATTTACATCAGGTGTCACATAAGGCAGAAGAACAGCAACCCACAACTCTCCTCGCTTGTCTAGTAATTCAGAAAAAAAGTCTTACTTCCTCATGTCATTGGGCTGCTCTTCCACTGAAGAATAGAAGTCTTCATATTCTTTTCCTGGACTTTGATTATGACTGCATCTTGAGAGGTAACAAACCAAGCTCACTCAAAACTAATTCTGCAGTTAACATTGTCGTGGTTTAACCCCAGCCAGCTACTAAACACCACACAGCAACTCACTGACCCTCCCCCCTTTCCGGTCAGATGGGGGAGAGAATCGGGAGGGCAAAAGTGGGAGAACTCGTGGATTGAGATAAAAACAGTTTAATAATGGAAATAAAACAAAGTGGAACAGTAGTAATAACAATAATAATGATAACAACAACAACAATAATACAATATACAAAGCAGGCGATGCACAGTGCACCTGCTCACCACCCGCTGACTAACGCCTAGCCCGTCCTCGAGTCACGAATCCCCCCTTCCCGGACCACACCTCCTAGTTTATATACAGAGCATGACGTCATATGGTATGGAATACCCTCTTGGCCAGTTGGGTTAGCTGTCCTGGCTGTGCCCCCTCCCAGCTTCTTGTGCACCTGACAGAGCATGGGAAGCTGAAAAGTCCTTGACCAGTGTAAGCACTACTTAACAACAACTAACGCATCAATGTGCCATCAACAACCCTCTCGTGCCAAACCCAAAACACAGTGCTACACCAGCAACTAGAAAGAGAATTAACTCTATCCCAGCCAAAACCAGGACAACATGCAAAGCTAGCTGTTCATCAGCACACTCACCGCTTCTTTGCATCCTTTAGCTTCCTCTTAATCTGTTTAATAGAAGAAAGCCATGCAGTAATTTTCTCATTTAAGCTATCAGAGCTTGCCTCAAAGATTCTGCATAGAATTGTGTGCTTTGTACCTTAGTGAAGACAGACTACAGTTTCACACTTCCAAACAGAGGAAAAGCTTTAGGGCCACAAACTATTACATTGTATTGCTTGTTTCTAAAGCTTTTATGTTCCACCCAATAGGCAGCTGGAAGTGCCTGTAATACTTTTTAATTGAGAATTATCGAAAGATATGCACACAATATAGGTCTTTAAAACATTTTTGCTATAGATAGAACATCCATCAGAGCTGTAGTGATGTAATTTACTGTCATATAATTCAGAAGCCACTAAATACAGAGTGCAAGTGCTGTACTACCTAATCTCCTGACTTAGCAGATAGGATTCTACCTTACAATCAAAGGTAGGCTCCCAGCTGGTTCACAGTATCAGTTCAGTCATTTTTATATCTGTAGCCTTCAAGTTCTTATATTGTAGCTCAAGACACATCCAGAAATTATGCTGTTCTTCTCTACCAATCTATTTGTTCCACTGCTAGACAAATCTTGGCATACATCATTAAATATCTTCTACTAAAAAAGGGAGTATTTTCATAACAGCATGAAATAACAAATCATGAACTGAAAAGTGAACAGTACATCTTGCAGGAGGTAAAACAGACAAAGACATTCAATAAAAACAGCAATATACAATAGGAAAGTTAAAACAAGAGTGAAATGTTTCAGGTTTTCAGAGGCCCATCAGCAGGAGAGTCAATCAGCAGGTTGGAATACAGCACAGAGCAGGAAAGCCAGGGAGATGTATTTGTGTAGCCTGCAGAGAGCGTGGGAAGAAAAGGCAAGAGGAAAGATAATTGCTGCCTTCAGCTTCTTGGACTACCACTGCTATAGTGGACTTGCAGTTCAGTAAGTGTTAAAAGCCAATTTTTCCAGTAACAACTTTAAGCAAAGACCCTTCTCCTAGACCTGGTTCTTCTCATATGGCAATTTGAAGCAACTGACAGACACAACAAACAAGAGACTTATTTCCCAGCAGAATCAGAAGACTGGACTTGAAAAGGTCCCTTGCATCCTACCTTGTCTGTCCATCTATCCTAAATTAGGGTCATTGTACAAGGCGCAAAAAAACAACAAAAAAAAGACACCTCAATGTTTTTCAGTCAGCTCGGTAGTCATTCTGTATAAAAGCACGGGAAGAAGAAGCCTGAGCTACTTTCCATCTAGCCAGCTTCAATTTATACAACAGCAGCAAAGCCACAGCAACACAGGCTGCCCCAACACAAGTCTCATGGACACCTGGACCCATTTATTTGGCTAAATCCAGCCTCCAACTTTCCTAAGTTACTTTGCCTTCATTCACTGCGTGACACATTTAAGGTCTGTGATGAGCTCCAGTCCTGAAGTTTCTATTTCATCCACTCCAGAAGCAACAACACTCCCAGTACCCTCCAGTTCATCAGCATATCTGCAGACACCCCAGGCTAGCCTTTGCTGTGTGCTCTCATTGATAAGCTTGTCTTGCTATTGCCAGTTACCATGTCCATGCTGTGAATAGGGACTATTTACCACCAAAAAAAATCCGAGGTGTATGAAGTGACTTTTTTAAAAAAAGACTTTCCCACCTTTCACACAGATCTATACATTTGCTTTATTTGCTATTTTTTCTAATATGACCGTGCCTGAAATGATTTTTCATTTCAATACAAAATTTTCATGCAAGACACAGCATGAAGTCCAACTTTACAAGGAGTTGAGAGGTAACTATGATGACAGAGCTAAAGAAAGAGGATATTTATATGGATTCAAAAGTCATTATTAAATCATAAATCTGCATCAGAATGGAAACACTAACTACGTTAATCACTTACAAGTCAGTTCTGGAAGCCTAAAATTTTGAACTTTTTAAAAGAAGTAAGTCCGTCCAAAAAGGGAGGGATTTCATTCCAACCCTTTCTGGACCATCTCCTGATTTTAGAGGGAGAAAGGTAGAAAATCAGTTTGAAGGGAGTTTTGGCGAGAGGAAGAAGGAAGGGAAGCGGGATTCTGCAGATCAGGAGGATGCCGTAACACGGGAAGTGCTCAGGAGCCGGTGTTCAGGGACAGGTCTCTCCTTCACCACACACACCCTCAGAGGGGGCTCGGGCGAGAAGTGGGACACGCAGAGTAAACACCCCGTTAGACCCACGACTGCTCCTGTTGCCGAGAGCGCCTTCCACCAGGAATTTCTCCAGCCACCAGCTGTTAACAAGCTTTAAGAACCTCACAGTTGGCAGGTTCCCCCAGCGGTGGGTGAGAGCGATGTTTACTGCAGCAGGGCAGCTTTCTCCATCAGCAGTTAATAGCATTACCCTGAAAGCTGCTTTCTGGCAGCCTGGAGAAACTGAGCCGAGGCCGGTAGCGCCCGGACGGGCAAGGACCTCAGCCTGA